GGGGGGGGGGGCTAAAAAAAAGGACTTAGTTTCTATTCATTCAGTTTTTTTTTTAAACGTTTAGCTGAAAAGTGTGTTTAATGGGTTTTTTTTTTTGTTAAGTGTTTAATCACTTTGTAGACACATTTATTATAAAACAGCTTTAAAAAAAAATGTTGAAGGAACGCATACAGTGAAACAAAACTGATGACAGCACACAACAAAGTGGAACTTAAACCACGGTTTTAGCTAGTTTTAGCACACGTGTAAATATAGATATCTACTTTCAGTGAGGTGCAACCATTAACACATAATTAGGCTTTAGTAAATTAAGTATTTTCAGAACCAAAGTGTTAAGTTCAGCTTTAAGACCATATAGGACAGAAGGGACAAGAGACAAAGAACTGTGTATGAGAACAGCTACGTAAAGACAACTGGCTTAAGCCGTGCTATCAACCGCTCGAGCGCAATCGAGATAAACTCATGACGTGGACGGCTAAAACGGAAGGGGAAATCACTGGGTATGGAACAACCCTTACACAGTGGATCATTCGCATTCTTGTGGCTTATGCGAACGATGCGAACACACCGAGCCAGGCAGAAGAAACAATATCTTGCGTAAAGAGAGGCATTCATTAAAGATTGCTCCCTTGTTAACAACAGCGTGATTCAATCATCAGGCACCAAGTGCACGGGAGATTGTGATACAAGCAGCAGGAGGAGAATCGCACTGGAGATTGTATCATGTGACGAGGAAATCTGTAAGAAATATGAATCAAAAACAAGACAAAGCCAACATGAGGACAGGTAAAGATGTATTCATTTATTATATTTTTGTTTCTTGCTCGCTATTTATTTATTGAAAAATTTACTGTTTTTTCCCCCCTCTAAAAAGTTACTTATTGTGAATCTATTCATTTGAATATAAGAAGAAAATGACAAAGATAGTTTTGTCATGTTTATATATTTTTAATATTTATTTCAAATACTCCATAGCATTTAATATTAGAAAGATATCCGAATACAAAAGGTTGTTATTTAAACAGCCCATGCTAGACAGATATCCGAATATACCATTTTCCTATTTAAACAGCGGATTCGTGAGAAATTACCTCTAATCGTTATTCAGTGCATTTAACAAATATAACAAAATATAACATTGCTATCAAAACTTCCCCACCACTTTAACAAAATGTATTATAGCTCTCTGATACAATATTATGGAGGAAAAACACCTTCTACACACTAATCGTTATATAATATGTGCCCGGAGTCTACACTGGCCATGGTACATTTACCAAGTTCAAGGTCTAGGTGGGTGGGGAAGGGGGTTTGGTTCCACAAACTCAGGTGGAATAGATCGCCTTGCCTACAGCAGTTGACTCTCATTTCTTGCTTCCACCCTCCGAGTCTCTTCGGATCAACAGTGAAGCGTCTACTTTGTGAAGTTATTTTGTGTCTCTTTGGGTTCCCTGTTGCACATCCACCTTTGGATGCTATTAGAGTTTTTTGTCATGCTAACCATATGACAAGTATAATAAATAATTCAATTCTCCCCTCAAAGAAACCAAAAAATGTTTTTTAAAATTTAAACATCAACAATGCAACAATATATGCAGGCACCCTGGGCCTCATTTTATATTTGACGTTTAATTTTTTTAATAACATATTTTTTTCATTGTCACAAATATTTTCATTATTGCAATTTTTTAGAAAGGAATAAAAAAAAAAAACAACAATCTGGCAACTCACAGAAGTAAACATTACATCAGGTAGATTCTGGTTAGCTTAAGAAATATTAATTACCTTAGTTATACTAAGTTACGTTTAAAATAGTAGCATATAAAGGTTGATTTTTGTCACAGGAAGACACGAAGTCCAAGTTCTC